CCCCCCCCCCCCCCCGATTCCTTCTTGGAATCCTAGCCCCAAAGGATAGCACACAGACAGAGGTGCTCTTCTGTCTCTTGAACTTAACTCTTCTCATTCCACTCTCTAAATGAGGGTGTTCCCCAGAGTTATGTCCTCAGCCCTCTTCTTTCTGGATTTCTCCTTATAATATGGAGCAAGTTATAATGTCCCAATCACTTTTCATGTTATATCCCTCAATTCTAAAAACCTTAACTGGCCCTAGCCCATTTGGCTCAGTGGATAGAGCGCCGGCCCGTGGACTGATGGGTCCCGGGTTCAATTCTGGTCAAGGGCACGTACCTCTCTGGCAGGCTCAACCTCTAGCCCTGGTCGGGGAGCATGTGGGAGGCAACCAATGGATATGTCTCTCTCACATCAATGTCTCTCTTTCTGTATCACTCCCCGTCCCTTCCACTCTTTCTAAAAATCACTGGAGAAATATCCTTGGGAGAGAATTAACAACAGGAAAATAATAAATAAAAATTAAAGCAGTGTTTCTGGGGAAAAAAAGTTAAAAAAAATAAAAATCTCAACTGACCCTGTAACATTCTCCAAATATTACTTCATTTTAAAAATCATCATCTACACACTCTCTATGCTTCTATACCTCCTTTGAACTCTCCAACTTACTATATTCTGGCTTTTGTCCTCAACACTCCATAAAACCGTGCTTGCTAAGATCACCAACTGCCTCTCTGTTGCAAAATTTAGCGGTAACTTCTCTATTCTCACTTCACTTCACCTCCCAGAACAGTCAACACCGTGGACTAAACCCTCTTTCTTGAAATTCTCCTACATGTCTGGTTCTCCTGTCATCTTGCTAGTCCTCCTCCTCTAGTTTACCTCTAAATGTTGAATTTCCACAGGGATTGGTTCTGCACTCTTATCCCTAGATGAGCTGACCTAGACCTGCCATTTATTTGCTGAAGACACACTGCCTGCAAGAAACAAACCAGTTCTGGCTGGTGTGGCTCAGTTGGTTGAGCGTTGTCCCATACACCAAAAGGTGGCAGTTGGATTCCCAATCAGGGTGCATACCTAGGTTGCGGGTTTGATCTAAGGTCGAGGTGTGTGCGGGGAGCGGGGGGGCAGGGGGGAACACAACCAATCAATGTTGCTCTCTCTCTCTAAAAAAATTTTTTTAAGAAACAAAACAAAGCAGAAAAAAGCAAAGGCACACCAAAATTGAGGGAAAACCAAAGATAAAACCCAAGATACAACAAATAGCTGAGGGAAAGGTAGATGAACAGGGATCCACAAAGAACACTGGGGCCCGGTCCATGTGGCTCAGTGGTTAAGCATCAACCTATGAACCAGGAGGTCCTGGTTCGAATCCTGGTCAGGCACGTGGCTGGATTATGGGCTCGGTCCTCAGTGTGGGATATTCAGGAGGCAGTCGATAAATGATTCTCTCCCATCATTGATGTTTCTCCCTCTCTCTCCCTCTCTGAAATACATACATACACACACATACATACATACGTACATACGACTAGGAAAGTGAAAGGAAAGTCAGAAGAGCATGATGGCCTGGAAGCCAAAGAGAAAGAAAGCTTCAAGAAGGACAAGTGTCAGCTCCTAGCTGTGTTCACTGATGCACAGTATGATGTCTCTGAAACAGTCACTGAACTTTTAGAGAAGGAGGGAGGTCACTGGTTAGGGTCAAAGAGACACGTCATGGAGTGGAACAAAAACACAAAGAGAAACAGAGATGAAGAATCATATGGTTCCTGACACACAGACAAAAAAGTAGCAGCCTCAGTCCCTTAGCTGCTGGAAGAACACTGAGTTTGGCAACTATACAAAAACATCCAGTGTCTTAGTGGACCCTAAGTTCATTATGAACTGACATGAGGTAATTGCTTAAAAAGCATATGTAATCTTAAATTACATTAAGAGACAGGGTATCTTGATCTCTTTAAGTACTACTGCCATTGTGCTCTGTGGGAGTTAGAACACAAGTAGAATACTGAGTTCAGTTCTGGGTATAGTATTTCAAGATTGCACGGAAGGGCAACAGTATGGGCGAGAGACCTGGAGATTGTATCACTTAAGAATGGCCAGAGGAACTAGAAATCTTTCACAAGAAAAAGAGAAGACTTAGAGCAGTGGTTCTCAACCTTCCTGATGCCGCGACCCTTTAATACAGTTCCTCATGTTGTGATGACCCCCAACCATAAAATTATTTTTGCTGCTACTTCATCACTGTAATTTTGCTACTGTTATGAATCATAATGTAAATATCTGATATGCAGGATGTATTTTCATTGTTACAAAGTGAACATAATTAAAGCATAGTGATTAATCACAAAAACAATATGTAATTATGTCTGTGTTTTCCGATGGTCTTAGGAGGCCCCTGTGAAAGGGTCGTTCGACCCCCAAAGGGGTCGCGACCCACAGATTGAGAACCGCTGACTTAAGAGGGAATATGACAGCATTCTTCGAGTTGATATAAAATACAGTCACCTAGAACAGGGCACGTTACTTGGATTATTAACTAAGAATAATGGATATCAGTTACAGGGAAGCAGTGTTTTATTCAATAAAAGCAGTCCTCAATTTAAAAATGCCTGACTGCTAAACACTGAGTACATAGCAACAAATTTTACTTTCCTCTCACATGTCACTATTAGGAATTTCTTACTCTCTCCTATACTGCTAAAAACCCCACCTATCACCCGGCCAGTGTGGCTCAGTAGTTGAGCGTTGACCTATGAACCAGGAGCTCACGGTTTGATTCCCGATCAGGGCACATGCCCAGGTTGCGGGCTCAATCCCCAGTGTGGGGCATGCAAAAGGCAGCCAATCCATGATTCTCTCTCACCATTGATGTTTCTGTCTCTCTCCCTCTCCCTTCCTCTCTGAAATCAATAAAAATAATTTTTTTAAAAAAAAACCACCTATCATCCAGTCTCACCTGCCCCCACTGTAATCCCTTGCAATATAATCTGTAATGTCTGAATGAGTATTGGGATCATAGAAACAACTGTGACAGGAATAATACTGAATTTGAAATCAGAAAACCTGGCTCTGCTAATTATTAGCAGTTAGTGAATGTCCAATACACCATAGAGTGCTATTCAAATATATTTAAGAAGAAAAAGAATGCATTGGGAGAAACTAAGATGGCGGCAGAGATAAACACCAGGAAGTTGATGCCGCTCACAACAATTGATTAATACCTCAGAAAAACAATAGGGACATCATCCAGAACCACAGGAAGCCTGGCTGACTGTAAATTCTACAACTAGAAGGAAAGAAAAGCACACTGAGAGCCGAGAAGC